GGGTTTCTCTTTGAGTGTTTAGGGTTTAGAAAGCATCAGCGAATGCTGCGTCGCTCAGTGCCCCGTGGTTTTGCCTGCAGTCAAACCCTAAACCCTAAACCCTAAACCCCAGCTAAACCCTAAACCCTAGGCCCTATCCAAACCCTAAACCCCCAACTGTATGCTCTTTAGTTCATGCGGCCTAAACCCTAAACCCTTAGAATTTGGTTCTCTCTCCGCTGGACCCTAAACCCTAGGCATCGGCCGTAGGCAGCGCCACCCCTAGCCTAAACCCTCAACCCTAAACCCTAAACCCTATTTTGTGTTTCGCCAGATCTGGGACTTAAACGCTACTCGAGAGTTTTTGGATAGTCGAGGGTTGACCGACAGAGAGCCAGGCGACATAGGCAAGACCCCAAACCCTAAACCCTAAACCCTTTTTATTTTTCCAGTCGCAAGCCCTAGAAACCAAGGAGGGCTGTTGCACGTGGCCAGCTGCTGTCACTGAAAGTGTAGGGCTCAAGGTTTAGGGTTTAGGGTTTGAGCTTAGGGTTTAGGGTTTAGGGTTTAGGGTTTATCTTCAGGGCCGAGCTACGGCTTTCAGTGGAGGCACTTCGGCGCTGCCTACAAAGACATGCACACAGACTACACCGGTAAGGGCTTTAAGGTTTAGGGTTTAGGGTTTAGGGTTTAGGGCTTAGGGTTTGCGGTTCGGGGTTTAGGGTTTGTGATTCAGGCTTCAGGGTTTGCGGTTCAGGGTGTAGGGTCTAGGGTTCAGGGTTTAAGTTTTGCGGTTCAGGGGCTGCGGCTTGAGGTTTAGGGTTTGCGGTTCAGGGTTTAGGGTTTAGGGTTTAGGGTTTAGGGTTTGCTGCAGGCCAGGGGGTGGACCAGCTGAAAGACGTAATTCACAAACTTCGGACAAACCCTAATGACCGGCGCATCATCATGACTGCTTGGAATCCAGCAGGCAAGGGTTTAGGGTTTTCGAGGGTTTAGGGTTTAGGGTTTGGTAGGATTTAGAGTTTGGTAGGGTTTAGGGTTTGGGAGGGTTCAGGGTAGGGTTTAGGGTTTAGGGTTTGGTAGGGTTTGGGGTGTGGTAGGGTTAACGGCGTAGTAGGGTTCGGGAGGGTTTAAGGGCGCAAGCTGCAGTAGGGTTTAGGGTTTAGGAGGGTTTAGTAGAGTTTAGAATTTGGGGTTTAGGGTTTGGGGTTTAGGGTTCGTAGGGCGTAGGGTTTAGCAGGGTTTGGGGCTGGGGTTTAGTAGGGTTTAGGGTTTAGGGTTTTCACTCGCCCGTTAGTTGTCCCTGAGAGCTTGGCAACACTCGCACCTGCCCATGGCTCTCCCTCTGCTGCTGCTGCTGCTGCTGCTGCTTTGCTGCTGCTGCTGCTGCTGCTGCTTCCCTGCCGCTGCTGCTGCTGCTGCACTCCCTTTGCGGCTTCCCGCCGCTCCCTCCCCGCGCTGCCCCCCTCCCCACCCCCGCCCCCGCCCCCGCCCCCGCCGCCGCTGCCGCTGCCGCTGCTGCTGCTGCTGCTGCTGCTGCTGCTGCTGCTGCTGCAGCGCTGGGCCTGATGGCGCTGCCGCCGTGCCACGTGCTGTGTCAGTTCCACGCGGCCGCGGGGCGGCTGTCTTGCTGTTTGTACCAGCGCAGCTGCGACGTGGGGCTGGGGGTGCCTTTCAATGTTGCTTCTTATTCTTTGTTGACAATTTTGATTTCAAAAATAACAAATTTAATTCCTTTTGAACTTGTGCACTGCCTCGCCAACGCCCACGTCTACGCCAGCCACCAGCAGCAGCTGCTGCTGCAGCTGCAGCGCCCCCCCGCGCCTTTTCCCGCCCTCAGAGTCCGCGGGACTCCCCAGGCAACCCAAACCCTAAACCCTAAACCCTAAACCCTAAACCCTAAACTCTAGGCCCTGGCAGCAGCAGCGGCGCGCGCAGCGGCTCCGCCGGAGACGCAGTCGCAGCGGGGGGTGCACGCAGAGCACGGGGAGGGGCGGGACAAACCCTAAACCCTAAACCCTAAACCCTCCGCGCAAACGCTGATTCAGGGTTTTTGCTGCTTTCGGTTTCTTGCTGCAGGAAATCGAGGACTTCACTGCAGACAGCTTTGAGCTCGTCGGCTATAACCCTCACCCCACCATCAAAATGCCAATGGCCGTCTAAACCCTAAACCCTAAACCCTAAGTGATGGGCCCGTCGTTGTTTCCTAGCAAACTGCTCGAGGACTCGCGGACAAGTGAAGTTGCATTTAGGCTTTAGGGTTTCCCTCAGGGCCTAGGGTTTAGGGTTGAGCGCCAGGCGTAGGGTTTGGGGTTTACCAAGTAGCGTTTAGGGTTTAGGGTTTAGGGCTTGTAGACACAAAAACAGCCACGCGGGCGAACAGCAGCAGCGGGGAGAAAAAAGATATAAATTAAATTCAGAAATTAAAAGAAACAGAGAAACGGATTTGCAGCTCACCAGCTGCAGCAGGTAGTGAGCTGCCGCGTGCTGTTGCTGCTGCAGCGCCTGCTGCTGCTGCTGCAACAGCGCGTGCTGCTGCAGCTGCTGTGGCGCGTGATGCTGTTGCTGCAGTGCCTGCTGCTGCTGCTGCTTCTGAGGCCGCTGTTGCAGCTGTAGCGCGTGCTGCTGCCGCTGCTGCTGTAGCGCATGCTACTGCTGCACTAGTAACCACCTCCACACCATTGAGGTCTTTCGCTGCTGCTGCTGCAGCAGCAGCTGCTGCTGCTGCAGCAGCAGCTGCTGCTGCTGCAGCTGCTGCTGCAGTCTTCACAGTTTAAGATCGTCAGCAAACGCATCGGCTCCTTGAAAGTTTCTAAGAAGCATTTTGGTGCGCCGCACTTCTGCCGTTTGCTGCTGCTGCTGCAGCTGCTGCTGCAGCTGCAAGAGCTGCTGCCGCTGCTGCTGCTGCTGCTGCACTGCGGGCGACCCTTTCCGCCGCATCCGCTGAATTACAAGACGAGTGTATTCTTCTTTTGTCCAGTCGCGCGGCAGAACCTGTGGTTCAGAAGCAGCAGCAGCAGAAGCAGCAGCAGCAGCTGCAGTTGCTGCTGCTGTTGTGCTGCTGCGGCGGCTATTGCCTGCCTCTTCCACTTCGTCGTCAGAATCAAGGCACCAGGATATCGGCTCCTGCTGCTGCATGTGTTCCTGTTGCTGCTGCTGCTGCTGCTCCTGCTGCGGTCCGTCAGGGGCTGTGGCTGGTGCTGCTGCTGCAACAGCTCTCCGTGTGGCTACAGCAGCGCCTTCTTTGCTGCTGCTGCTGTTGCCACTCTTCATCTGTTTGAAGAACTCAACTGTATCTTTGCTGACCCCAGCAGCAAAGGCAGCACGGGGTGCTGGTGCTGCACCTGTTGCTGCAGCAGCAGCAGCAGCAGCAGCAACGTAGAAGCCATGTGTATCTCCTGCTGCCCACAGCACCTTGCTGAAGAGGGGCCCCTCCTTAAATGGGCCCCTCTGCTGCTGCCGCTGCTGCTTCCGTCCCCATTGCTGCTGCAGCTCCCCTTTTTCTTCGTCTCCCACCTGTTGCCGCTGCTGCTGCTGCTGCTGCTGCTGCTGCTGCTGTTTGATTCTCCTCCTCAAGGATCTCTTGTTAGAAAACAGACGCTGCAGCGGCTGCTGCTGTACTGCAGCAGCAAATACTTGGGAAGCTAGGGGCATGTCAGCTGCCCCTATTATGTTTGATACAAGGCCCATACCCAGGGGGCCCCCATGGGGGACCCCCAGGGGGCCCACCATGGGGCCCCCCTGGGGGCCCCCCAGGGGCTCCCCAGGAGGACCCATTGTATGGGAGCTGTCCTCTTGAAACGAAGTTGCTGCAGCAGCAGCAGCAGCACAGCACAGGCAGCAGAAGAGAGATGAAAGAGCTGCAGCGACGAAAAATCAGAGCACCAGCAAAGAACAGCAGCAGCAGCAGCAGCGGGAGCAGCGTAGCTGCTACCGGCACTTACAGCAGCAACAAACGCAGCGGAAGCAACAGCAACACCCCTACGAGCAGAAGCAGCAGCCGCAAAGGCAGCAGCAGGAGCAACGGCAGCAAACGCAGCAGCAACAGATGCAGCAGCAGCAGCAGCAGCAGCAGCAATAAGGTACCTGGAGCAGCAAGTGCTGCTCTGTGCACGTAAGCAGCAGCATTTGTTGGAAAATGAAAATTAATTACATGAGCCTTTCCTTTTAGCTGCCCGGAGCGCGAAAGCAAATCTGTAGCCACCAGAATATGCGGGGCTGCTGCTGCTGCTGCTGCTGCTGCTGTGTTTGCTGCTGCTGCGTCTGCTGCTGCTGCACTTGCTGCTGGTGCAGCTGCTGCTGCGTTTGCTGCTTCTGCTGCTGCTAACCGCCGCCGCATCGATAGCTGCTTGTGGTAAGCAGAAACGGGCCAGCCGTGCTCCCGCAGCAGCAGCGTGAGCTCTTTGCTGCTGCTGCTGCTGCTGCAGAACACCACGGTGAGGGCAGCAGGGACTTGCTGCAGCAGCAGCAGCAGCAGATTAAAGCGCTCTTTGAACTCAGCAGCGCGCAGCAGCTGCTGCCGGTCCCTTTCCAAGTCCAGATCTGCCATGGCTTCCAGCAGCAACAGCTGCTGCTGATGCTCTCGCTGCTGCTGCTGCTCTTGCCGCTGCTGCTGCTGCTCTTCAGTGGCTTTCTTACGGCTGGCGCGTAGCTGCTGCTGCTGCTGCTGCTGCTGCTGCTTCAACAGCAGCTGCTGCTGCTGCAGCAGCTGCTGCTGTTGCTGCAGCAACTGCTCCTCCCTCTTTAGTTCGTTCCACACGGGATACTGCCTCTCGATCTCCTTCCTCAAGTTGCCGTCATTGAGCCGCAGCCACAGCTGCCGCTGTTGCTGCTGCTGCTGCTGCTGCTGTTGCTGTTGCTGCTGCTGCACCGGCGCAGCAGTGCTGAACCGCTCCAGCAGCAAGACCCCGCTGCTGCAGGGGCCCCCATAAGAAACTGTAGACCCGATGAATATCAGTTGGGTTGGGGGCAAAGCCTTGGCCTGAAAACAAACACTTTTTTTTTTTTTTTTTTTTTTTTTT